TGGGGCAGAGCAGATGGGGTGCTGCTGGGTTGGTCCAGTAGCACCGAGGAGCGGCGCTACTGGAGCAACCCAGCAGCACCCCAGCTGCTCTGCCCCAGGCGTCCCCAAGTCAGCTTCTGCTGAAACTGACCAGCGCTGACTACAGGAAGCCCGAGGCAGAGTTGCTCTTCAGCAGCGGCTGAATCTGGACGCCAGTTCCGACTTACATACAGATTCAACTTAAGAACAAACCTACAGTCCCTATCTTGTACGTAACCCGGGGACTGCCTGTACATGCAAGTTTGACTGATTCTACACATATAGGAGATAAAATTATTCTCCTCTGTGATTCTTAAATTCATGCTTAATTGTTCAAAATTTGTTAAATTCAGTTACAAATCAAAAGGCAAGATAGACTTTTCAATGGACTGAAACTTACCAAGTTTTTCACATAGTTGAAACAAAAACTAAATAGGTATTATATTAAGGTCTGTAGCGAGCTTATAAATCAGAGTTTCCTCTAAGAGAAATAAATGATATGCATTACTTACAGCTTCCAGTTCACTTAAAGCAGGTAGGGAAGGCTTGTAATAATAAAAAAAAACGGGAAAGAAAGTTCCCATATCACACAGTAACAGAAGGATCTATTCTTGAACAGAGGCAAGATTTCAGGTTTGTTAAAAAAGAAAGGTGTGTGTAATGCCTGCTTCTATCAGAATTTCCTCCCCACTCCTGAATAGATTTTAAGGCCAGATGGGTTCATTAGAACTCCAAGCATGAACTCCTATGTAAGATCAGATGACAGAATTTCAGCCAATTATCTGTATTTGTTCCAACTAATGAGAATTCATACCCTATTAAGGTTGTTCCTGGCCAAAATATGTTGACATTTGATTCATTTTTGCTACTAAATGGGTGGAGGAGATGCAGTAAGTAGTCTAAATGTAGAAAGATGAGTGTGTCTTCCATATAGGGCCACACAAAGAAACCTAGAAAAATGCTCAACAGACTGTAGCAAGAATTGTATTCAAGTTGAACAGGTTAACTGTATATCAATCCTTTGTTACTGCTGGAAGCAGAAGTACTGCGTGTTGCCCTAAAGATAATGGAGAATATCAAGCCACGATAGGGGAACAATTCCAACTACTGTAGACATACAAAATGAAGGGAATCTAAGTTAGCTGTCACCACTCAAGAAAGATCTTGGAGTCACGGTGGATCATTTTCTGAAAACATCCACTCAGCCTGCAGCAGCAATCAAAAAAGCAAACAGGATGTTGGGAATCATTAAGAAAGGAATAGAGAACAGAACAAAAATATCTTATTGCCTCTGTGTAAATCCTTGGTATGTCCACATCTAGAATATTACATGCAGATGTGGCTGCCCCCTCTCAAAAAAGTTACTGGAACTGGAAAAGGTTCAGAATAGGGCAACGGAAATTAGGGTGCATGGAATGGTTTGCACATGAGGAGAGATTAATAAGATTGGAACTCTTTAGCGTGGAAAAAAAAAAAGACTAAGAAGGGATATGACCGAAGTCTATAAAATCATGAGTGGTGTATGGCAAATAAATACGGCAATATTATTTACACTTCAGAACACATGGACGAGGGGCCACCAAATGAAATCAATAGGTAGCAGATTTAAAAAACAACAGTGACTTTCCACATGATGTAGAGTCAATCTGTGGAACTCCTTACTAGAGGAGTAAGGATGCTGAAGGCCAAGACTACGACAGGGTTTAAAAAAAAAAAAAAAAAAAAAAAAAAAAAAAAAAGTTTTGTTCATTCCCCATGGGGCACCTGGCATTGGCCGCTGTGGGAAGACAGGATACTGGGCTAAATGGACCTTTGGTCTGACTCAGTAAAGTTGTTCTTATGTTGAATGTCTCGCACTGACAGGTTCTTGCAACAGCAGGTAGGGGCACAGCATGGAGGAAGTTGGTCTAGAAATATTAAGCTTTTCATGCAATCTAGTGTATAGGGCCAAGATATTACCGCACTAGTGCTAGAGCATCAATACGAGTTTCTTTTAACACAACATACTGGGTGTCGCAGTTCAAAAAAAAGAGACCCAAGAAACCAAGTTGGAAAAGCGTCTGTTCTTTTAATTGAAAATGTAGTGCATACAAATTGGTTCATGGTCAATTAAAAAAAATTAAGGTTTCACAAAGACTGGAATAGAAGCTAAATTATAGCACAGTAGGAGGACTTTATACACAAGTTCCTGCATATAGGTGTGATTTTGATATACATTCCAACAGTGACATCATGCATGTTCACAGTGGTCATGCACTTTTTACACCCACAGACCAGAAGTTTTTAAAATGCATGCAAATCTAAGGCATGTATCAGACTACAGGAACTTAAGCTAACAAAGGCAGCAAGATAGCAGCTTAACAGCAATTCTAGATTATAAACATGCCTTTGGTTAGACAAGTCTATATAGTTTTGCTGCCAAATAAGAGAGTAACACACAAATCAGAGGAATTAGATATAAAACTGAAAACACTGGCAGTAAGTAGAATGCACACTCCATTTCCATCTGGAATTCTGAACGCGCACTTTAACGAAAATATCGTTTTTCTGCATATCAAGCATTAATACTTAAGGCTATTTTGTCAGTAATCTTGATTAACAGTAAGTTAGCCAACTTTGTGGGCTTAGTTAAAACGATTTAAAAGATGAGCAGCTTGTTCTTGGTGCAACCTACCTAACACTGAATTCCTTATGAAGTTTCCTTATGCAAATCTATGAAACCATTTTGTGTGTGCACTTGGGAGGTTATTCTTTCCTGGATGTCTGCACTTCTTGCTACTCTAACAGGAGTGGTACACATACGTTGTCTTTATTGTTGTAGGAAACAGCCAGACTTATGCTTTACTCTAGCAATTGGAGACGGTGGTCTAGAATCCCCAGTGCCCTGCACTGCAGGTAGTGCCCAGGGCAAAGCAGATGTAAGCTTTTACTGTTCTAATTCAGTAGGATTTAACCCCAATGCAATGTGGATCTAAAGGACTATGCCAGTTGCAAGTGACTTTGGAGAATCTGCCTCCATGCCTTTGCTTTGGCAAGACAGCCAACGGTAACATGCAGCATCCTCTGAATGCCATGACATGCAGGAAGACAGAAGTGGCCATGTCTGAACTAAAACTTGTGTCCTCACACCACCTAGTGAGAACCACACCCCACTTCCATACAGGAAATGACGCTTACTCCAGAGGCGTCCTTCCCCTCCCACCAACATGATGGATGTCCTTTACAGTCTAACATTTGTCCAAATAAGGGACGTCACAATAAAGCGTCCCTTGTGAAATCTCTCTCCCCCCAACCCTCTGAAAGCCTTGGCAGCCCCCTTCATCTGCACAGGCACATAACCTCTCTTGTGAGGAGCATGAGAAACTCTAAGACGAAGAATTATCTGAAAAAGCCTTGTCTCCAATGAGAACTACAAAAACTAAGCTTAGAAACATACCGGTGATAGCCATTTTCAATATAAGATTTCCACTTTAAAAAACAAAAGAGGACTAATTGTAGTGATCAGGAGAGTAGAGGCCAAGTTGAATGGGTTAAATCAGGCAAAGCAAGGGAGATGCGGTGCGCACACATCTTCCAGGGGACCCAATCTTGACTTGTAACAGCCCCGCAATTCCAGTCCCAAGCCTCCCTTGAGCAGGGTGCTCGGAGGAAGAGTTGCGGGGATGGGGGCTGGAATCATGCCATGCTTTTGGGAGGTGCACACACAGAGGGCCTGGTAAGTCCTTGGGAAGCCGCTTCCACTTGTTATTCATGCCAGGATTTGAACCCAGTTCTCTTAAAAAGGTGAATAAACTAATGTACAAACTAAAACTCAGTGAAGACCAAAATATCACGAGATAAAGGACAGCACTTAGGTCACATTAAATTCTAGTGAAATACCTATCAAAATACCTCGACGCACACACAAATGTATAAACACGGAGTTGTAGTATCAGCAGAAACTTCCGTCAAGTAGTAATAGAAGAAAACGCTTATTGAATGAGATCCAGGACTTCAATTTCCCTATGAGTTTGCTTGACAGGGTTTCCCTCCTCCAAAACAATATTCTAACTCAAGATAATTCATAGTACAGGTAGGTCCAAACCAGACCTTTCCGAACAGAGAAAAGGAAAGCATGTTTCGCACTGTGATCTTTGTAAATCTAGAGAGTTAAGACCTGGGAGGTGGAAAGTACAACGGGGAAAGTTTTTGGAGGATAAAAAGGGCCAAACTGGACGTTAAAAAACAAAAACAAATCTAAAGTTTAAAAATGTTTAAAAAATAGAGACCCAAATTATGGAAAGCTTTTAAGCACATTCTGTTATGCTCCATATGCCAGTACATACAATTGTAGGAAACAGAAATGTCTATTAATGCCATACACACAAAGTAAATCATCGAACCATCAACCACCTGTAAACATTGATTTATTTTTTTCTTTGCTGATCACCAGAATCACATACCAGGTAGGAAAAAATATTACACCTCTAATGCTCAGACGTCTGGTGTTTATGGGCAAGGGTTTCTCCTGCAGTATTTCCACTGCTGGGAAGGAATTTCTGCACCCCAAATTCACCCTCATTTGTAATTGAAACCAGTGACTACTATCAAATGCATTTACAGTGCAAGAGCAACAGGTCAAGTTCAGAGTCTGGAATACAACTGAATTCTGACCTGTGGAGGTAGTTATAACATCACTTAGTGTCACAGACTTTACACGCTCCCCTGTAGTGAGGGGTGCTTGACTCCTACCTCTACCAATCCACCCCTCCCCCAAGTCCCCATCCTGCCTCATCCCATCCCGGCTTCTCCTCCACTCCCATTCCACCCCTTCCAGCCCCCACCCCCACAACTCTTCCCCCGAGCACCCTGCATCTCCCCTCCTAGAGCATCCAAACATGTGAAACATTTCAGGGCAGGCAGGAGGTGCTAGGTGTAAGGGGGCAGAAGGGGAGATTGGCTGCGGGTGGGTGGTGCCCAGCCACTGACTTTTTCCCCGGAGCACCCACAGAATCAGCACCTAGGCACCTTTCACGTGCAATTGTCAGAAGAAGGATTAATACTTCAGATACTGTCTGAGCAGCTTGACTTCTGTTTATCAGCCTGCATTAAAGAGTCGCTGGAAGACTTCCGAAGCAGAAGTGTCATTCTGGAACACAGTGTGTCTTTTGCCAGGTTGTTAAGCCTGGTTAGCGTCTGGATAGGAGGTAGGTTACGTGCAGTTCCTACCCTGCAAAGCAGATCTCCAGCAGCAACATAATATTTCTTAGGCATGTGATTAAAGGGGATCAGCAAGGAAATTTATCCATCTCCTTAGTTATCTTAGCAACAAAATATTTCCCAATATGTACAGCTGAGCTTTTATAACACAAACTCACAAGTTAGGGGGTCCCCGCACATGTATTCTCTGTGCAAACCGCACATACGTTTTGATATGTTCACACAGTAAACCATAGAAACGCACTGGCTCTGATGGCCACCTGCTGTGTACAGACAGACCCACTGTTTAGTTAATTTGAGTGACAGACGGCTCTTCAGTAAGCACTGTTCTAGTGACGCTTACCGTTTGCCCACAGGCCAGGAAGGAGATCCCAAGAGCAATCAGACACAGCCAGGTCTGGAATTAAAGAAGGAGTGGATTATGAGAAATGTTCCTGCAAAAGTTACAATCAATTTAGCAGCTGCACTTTAATGAATGGAAACATGGAGGGATTACTTGGTGCTATTTTTCAATAATTACTAGGAAGTCAAGTTACCAAATCTCTTCATAATGAGCTCTATGGAGAATGTTAAAGCATATTAAGGCTGCTGAGATTGGGAAAGCTATTAAATAGCCTGTTGAACGTGGTTATAAGCCGCTCTAAACTTTGCCACACTTTTCACAGTAAGTAGAAAATTAGGCCATGTCTTCACTAAGCAGAAGATTGACGCTGCCATGATCGATCTTTCGGAGTTTGATTTAGCAGGTCTAGTCAAGACCTGCTAAATTGAACTCAGAGGGCGCCCCCGTCAGTGGCCAGTACTCCTGCGAGGAGTAAGGGAAGCCGACAAGAGCATTTGCTCCCATCAGCCTCCTGCTGTGGGGGACAGAGAGGAAACTCGAATCAAGATACGCCAAATCCAGCTATGTAATTAACGTAGCAGGAGTTGAGCATCTTGATTCGACATTCCCTTTTAGTTTGGCCTGGCCGTAAGAGATACAGACGCAATCACAGGAAGGAAAGTCACACTGCATGTTGATAGACCTTTTTTCTTTAAACAAATACATAGTTGTCCCCTCTTACCATTTGAATGCACACAAACAAATCAGGAACTCTGCACCATTTTGAAGGTCTCTCCCCATCAGATTATTAGCTAGCATAGCACAGTTTAATCTAGGCTTGTTCAGATGAGTCACTAAGGGAATTGGGATGGAAAGTAAGAAGTTTCAAGGACTAATGGACTAAGCACAGAACTGGGAGACAAATTTCTGACTCTGCCTGGCCCTTGAACAGGTCTTGATTTATGGGAAACTGAGGCACATCTGAAATGATGCACTTAGGGGATGGCGAGGGTTACTTAGCCTTTGTAAGATTTCTATGGGTTATTAAATAAAAGCTTCCAGTTCTCGGGAAAGCAAGCTTATTTGTCACAACGCTGCCTCAGCCCAACAGTTACTGAATCCCAACATTATATAGCAACAGTCTTGCCAAAGAACACGGATGTACAATACTCACCAAGTAGGCAACAAAGCACAGGTAGACAACGGAGAGAATGGCTGCCACCACGTATAAGGCCAGGTGTCCCAGCGCAGTGACGTAGACCACCACAAAATACATGTTAATGCAGCAGACAATGAGAATGAGCACGCTGCCAGCGATCTTCCAGCCTCTAAAAGGAAACCCCAAAGAAACGGGATTGGAGGGGGATTTGGGAGAGGGAGGGAGGTTCCCATTTCCCCTGCAGTTTGGAGGGAACCCTTCTCGTCATGCCAACGTTCACAGAACGGTACAGACTGTTTTCTAACAGGGCTCCTACTTTTAGACAAAAAACACTGACTAGATAAAGGGGCAAGACAAGATGTCATGGTACAGACTGTTTTCTAACCCTACTTTTAGACGAAAAACACTGACTAGATAAAGGGGCAAGACAAGATGTCAAGAGTGTGCTCAGGAAGCAACACACACCCACACTCACACCCACACCGAGTTTCTTATCCGGGGAGGTGGCGACGGAGCCCTGGGGGCCAGTGGCGGAGCAGCCTCCAGACCCAGTAGTCTGGACCCCAGAGCTGGTGGGACTCCAGAAGGGATGGACGTGTCTGGAGGCCCGGACCCAGGTCTGGAGGAGCCGGCAGTGGGACTGACCCCGAGGCTCAGGGAAGCCAGGTGCAAAATCTAGGGGAGCTGCAGCATCCCCCACACTCCTACTTCCCACACCTATGTCCATTGCAAGGAGAGTAAGTTCTCAGGCAGGTCTCGCGGAGACCGGGCTGTGTATACGACAACAAACAGAAGAACTCCAATACTGTTCAGGGAATAAAAACAATTCACACATTTCTCATGAACAATTAGCCCTGCTTAACTATACTGAAGGGGAAGAGTGGCCTCGTGGTCAGGGTGCCAGCCTGGACTTGGGAGACTTGGATTCAATTTTCTACTTTGCCACAAAAGTTCCCATGTGACCTTGGGCAAGTCACTTAGCCTCTCAAGTCCCCGTATGTAAAACGGGGGTGAAACGCTCCTCCCTCAGACGGTATTGTGGGAATAAATACATCAAAGATTATGCTCAGATCTCACATCTCTAAGGACCAAGCACCTAAGAGGAATATCAATATTTGGAGCTAAAGCAAATGGTTTAAAAAAAAAAATATCAGGAAAAGGTCCAGGAGTCTCGTCATACTTACAGCCCATTAGCAAAGTCTTTCATCACAGGATGCAGGCTGGTGAACGTGAGGACTGGGATTAAAGCAAAGGGAAGCTGGAATAAGGCAACAAGATGCAGATTAGGGACGGGACTGTTTGCATAACCCCCCCCCATGTTTGTTTACACACACTAGTTTTCCCCTTTAGCTACTGGAACTGCATTCTAAGACACTCCCCGGGTAGAAATAGTAGCAGTGTAAACTACTCGGTGCTTTCCCATCTTCCCTCCACGGAGAGATTCTTGCATGAGAGAATCCAGAAGCTATATTCTATGCTGGGGTACGGAGTGTGTCATTCTGAAGGGCACGGAGCATGTTTCAGACAAGAACTATCAGCAGCTGAAATTCTTCTACTCTTTAAGAATTTAATTTGGCGGTTCCCATTCCCCATTTCACAACAGGAACCAGGTACCATAAACACTGATCTCTCCTGCCCAAGAGCTGGAAGCCCATGGAGAATGGAACCAGATCGTTATTTTTCCTGACTTTTAAATGTAAGCGGAACCCTGCCTAGATATGCTTCTTGCTCTTGATGTGGTGCAGATAATGCAGCCAAAGACAAACGTCTGACATGAAAATTCACGTTACGCAGGTTTAGAGGAAAGGCTTTGGCCATCTGGCGGCAGGCTTGGATTATCGAAAACTGAAGGAATTAAAAAGTCCCAGGATACATTTAGTATATTGCCAGCCTTTAGGTGTGCAAGTTTTAGGTAGCAGGGAATAGTGTTTGGGTGCCTCGCCCATGGGAAGTTTTACAGCTAGTCGTGATAAGGGAATATATAAATGGGTGGGTATCATCTCTCAGTATCTGGGGTAGGCGATACAACCAATGTCGACAACAGTTCACAAGCAGCTATAGGCCGGGGCAGATCCTAAATTCACTGCTACTGGAAAACCCAATTCCGATAGCAGCTGCTGCCATCACAGGTCCCTCCCACTCCTCTCCGCACCCAGGATCCCTCGGCCAACAGAAAATGTTTATAAGCGAGCAAACAGAAGGCCCTAAAGCAGGAGTGGGCAAATACCAGCCCATAGGCCGGATCTGGTCTGCCAAGGTCAGCCCCTGGTAGGTCCCTGCCCCACCATATTTACCTGTGCAACCGCAGGCATGGGGGGGAGGTGAGGGGGAAAATCACAGCTCCCATTGGCCGTGGTCTGCGGTTCCTGGCCAATGGGAGCTGTGATCGCCCGTACCTGCGGAGGTGCAGGTAAATATAACGGCAGCGGCTCACCAGGAGCTAACCCTGGTGAACCGCTGCTGGTTTATTGCCCGCCCCTGCCTTAAAGCCAACACGGGTAGCGACGAAGAGGCTGGTTCCGAATGCAAGGAGCGAATGATTAGAGACGACTCTCCAAGGACGTGCCCCTTGGAACTGCAAGCGGACAGCTGCTCACCTGTAAGCTCTGAAGAACGTTCAGGAAGTCATTCATCCCGGTCAGGTGTTCCACATCTTGGAAAATGGCCACCAGCAGGGTTGGCGTGATGGCAATGGAGCGGGTCAAAATCACTCGTGCAAACCGCGACCACTTCAGGTTGAGGAATCCCTTTGGGGAGGGAAACGGAAGAACGGCTGTTCCCGAAAGGCAGCGTCCCACAGAGCTACAGGGGGTGATCTACTACAGGGAGAGTTTCTCTTCTAGGGACCTAAGGACGTGAGGCTGGAATTTTCCCAGGGGAATCGGGGACCTAAGAGTCTGGGACATGAGTCAATGGTAGGACAGTCTGATCTGGCAGCCAGCGACATGGTCAGGAAAGGAGGTGAGGCCACCCTAACTTCAAGGGGTCACAAGGAGAAGCAGGACACAGACATAAGGCAACACTACGAGTCACACACCTCCATGACAAACTGCCCCGAGTAGGTCCCAGTCATCGTCGAGCTCTGACCTGCAGCCAGGATGCCAACTGCCCAGATGTACAGAGCGGCAGGGCCAAAGTAACAGCCCAGCACAACACCCTGAAACACAGAAGGGTTTCCAGTCACAGCTCAGCTGGGGTTAAATCCTAGATTTAGAGCCAGCGGCTCCAACAGCTCCGTGTTCCCTGCCACCCAGCCCCTCGCTCTGTCCCAACGCGGCAGCTCTTACAGTGTTTAAGGGTTCAAGCCTTGACTCGTCTCCGTTGGTTCAGAAGCAGCAGCAGCTGCATGTAAATGAGTCAAGGAGGCGAAGGTCGTTAGATAAAGTCACCCTGGCTGGCCTGGCCATGCGCCACTCACCCCTTTGTAGATGTCCACTTCCAGGCTTTGGTTGTTTTGGGGGAAGAGTCCGGCATGGGGGCTGCTGCTGTTAGCGCAGGCTTGGCTCTAGAGAAGGAAAAGGCCATTTAGGAAGTTTTGCTTTTGTGATGATATTCCAAGAGCAGAACCCGGGGCTGGAAGAGCGCGAGGCGGAGAGGGAAGTGGGTGGGATGAAATGCACTGGCATTAGCGTGTTGGATGCCTCTTGCAGACCAGGGAGAGCGCAGGGAGGAAAGAGTCAAGGCCCGATTCTTATTTACACTGAGGCTCCTTTTAGGCCACTCTGGCAGTTCCTACGTTTATGCTCTTTACAATACCAGGCCATGTAAAAAGACCTGCCTGTAAAGGAGAACCAAGCCCTGCGTGTATGAAACACTCAGGGTCACAGGTGCTATTATTAACCCAGAACCAGTATTTTAGGGTGTAGCTACACTACAGTGGGAGGCGTGACTGAGCTAGCTTTGATCTAACCAGCAAGGAAGCTACAGCCCTAGGGTCCCAGGTGAGCAGGTGACTGCTCATACTGTTGCTTGCCTGTCTTGGTTTTGTTGCTGTGTTACTCAAGCTAGGTGTATGACCATGCGCTACAATCCCATCTCCCAGCCGCAGTACACATACGCCCACCGCGTCTCTGACTCCCAGTAACCCAGAAAGTCCACAACACAAGCGGCCAGCCCCCCCTTCCCCCCGCCACGCACGCCAGAGACTCACCACATTTGCATTCGTCTGCCCAAAAAAGGCTTCGGCGAAGACGGAGACGACGAAGACGTTAATGAGGAAAGAGATGAAGAGGGCAATGCAGGACTCGATGAAGAAATACTTATTGGCTTCTTGCACCTCCTTCTTGTTGGCACGATTCACCTGCCTCGACTGGAGAGAGAGCATTGAAAGACAATGAGGCATTTCAGAACCGCTAGCGGATGGAACCAGCGGTATCTCCAACAGGTTGTTCCGTCAATCGCTGCTGAACTTTGGCCAGAACAGTCTGACACAGGAGACATTACCCAGCAGCCAGCCACGAGGAGCTGCTAATGCAACAGTGCCGTGGGGTGCACCCCAAGCAAAGAGGCATGGTTTGAAGCAGCAGGGCTGTGGCTGACCCACATTCACACAAGCACAACCGCACCCATTCGCAGGGTGCACTAACACTGCGCGTTTGAGTGCGTTGCTCCTGCAGACTGATTTCACCATGGTGAACAGAAGCTCTAAAACAAACAAAAAAACCTCTCGCCATGCTGGACGTGTGTCCCAGCTCAGCGTGGCCCCCAAAGGCTGCCTGGCTTCCAGTTGATGTGCCCTAAGATACAGGAGCTAGTACGTTAAGAGGAAGCATCAATCTGAGCTCTAAACGCATGTTACTATGGGGAGGGAGATGTGGGGGAATGAGAAAGAAGCCAAACTTATTTGCAGGACAGATTGATGGACCTCAGCTATAAAATTCAGCTGGGTTTGTCATCTGATCCCCCCTAGAATTAAATATGGATGGATCCCACAGGGCACAGAGACTCCTCCGACGTCTCCGATACAGGTGAGGTATTTGTCAAGTGTTAACCACGTCACAGAGACTGTACTGCTCTATCATGGTGCACGTGCCGTATTCTAGTTCTGGAAACTTACGTGGAACAGTCAACATCAGACTCAGCTTACTGGCCTGATTCCAAAGAATGAAGAGCGCCAGGGACTGCTGCTAGAGAGAAGGGTTTTCAAAGGTGCGCGGCATCGGTGTCGTGTGCTGGAATAAAGCTCACACTGACTTGGGACTCACCCTCCATCGTACGATCAATGGGCGTTTTGCCGTTGACTTCCTCGACAATACTCGCTCCGACAAGGGCAGTCACTACTATTCAAACACACCAGACCTCGCGAGGCGCTTTCCTCTAAGCCAGCAATGGGCAACCGAGGCGGCTGCATGCGTGGCTCTCCTCCGGCTCAGTGGGCCGCAAGAGCGTCCCAACCAAGACAGGCTCCCGGGAGGAGGTAGGTTTGCTTGCTGCGCTCGCAATCTAGAATGGGCGGGGGAACCGTCAGCGGTGCTTTGACTGGCTGCAGGGGGAGCACCCGGCTCTCACAGCCAGTGTGGTGTGCCATCCGCACGCCCCCCACTGTAGGTACGTGTCACTTTAGTAACACCGGGAGGAAAAAACCCGCGGAGTCTGCCGCCCCTGCACATGAGAACGGTAAACACAGAACCCCGACGGGGGCCCACCCCTGCGCTAAGCCGTTACTATCGCATCCCAATAGTCTCCTCATATTTACGAAGAGTGAGCCAGCGGGAACACGGGAATCACCCCCCACCCCAGTCCCCTTACCTTGACTAAAGCAGAATGCAGGTACATGTTGTGTGGCATGATGACCGCTCCCACGATCCCCACCGCTTGTTCTAGCTGGGGGGTGCCGCAGTTTTCACAGTAGGGCAGGAACATCCCCGTCAGCAGCTTTCCCTGGTCTGGCTTTACTGTAACATACTATACACAGACACAACAGAGCCGCTAAGACCTGTGGATTGGCACAGTTCACACAGCTGCTCAGAGGGACAACTTGGAAGGCCCCCAATTGGGGGAGGGATCGCTCAGTGGTGTGAGCATTGGCCTGCTAAACCCAGGGTTGTGAGTTCAATCCTTGAGGTGGCCACTTAGGGATCTGGGCCAAATCGATCAGGGACAGTGTTGGTCCTGCTGTGAAGGCAGGGGACTGGACTCGATGACCTTTCAAGGTCCCTTCCAGCTCTAGGAGATTAATATATATGGAGCTATACTTATTTACCCAGTCCAAACGGAGTAATTCAGGAATAGCTCCCCCTCTTTAAAAGTTAGAGACTGTTACCCACTAGCACTGAAACAGCAATGTCAATGTTGGACCCCAGTGTGCTCGCCAGATACAGGTAAATAGCAAACAATCCCTGAACTGGGTTTAAATAGCGAACAATCCTTGAATTGGTCTAACCCTCTGGAGCCAGCACCAGCCCGATTTGAGGCAGAAGGCAAATGAAGAGCCCCAGTTAACATGGGCCGCACCGCAAAAGAAGCTGCACATAGGAGACCATTTAAGTAGGTGCTTTAGGATTGGTCTAAGTCGTTCCAATAGAACTGCTTCCCATAGAAAAGTTTGGTTTTTTGAACCAGAATCTTTTGGGTTTTGACAAAAAACTCAAAAAGCTGCAGCCCCCCCCCCCCCCCCGGGAAGGGGTGGGGGAAGCGACTCAGCTGATATGTTTGACTTTAAGCCTGAGCTTAAAGTGCTTTCCAGAATTGAGAGCACAAGGAAAGGAGACCTCACGAGGCCTGGCAGAAGAGGATGCTCTCAGCATCAGCGTCACTTGCTGGAAGTAAAACTCCCACTGACTTTGGACTAACTCGGGCATCCTTAAAAATCCATGGGAGTTTTGCCACTGCCGTCGACTCAGCTGATATGTTTGACTTTAAGCCTGAGCTTAAAGTGCTTTCCAGAATTGAGAGCACAAGGAAAGGAGACCTCACGAGGCCTGGCAGAAGAGGATGCTCTCAGCATCAGCGTCACTTGCTGGAAGTAAAACTCCCACTGACTTTGGACTAACTCGGGCATCCTTAAAAATCCATGGGAGTTTTGCCACTGCCGTCCTTAACACCCACCCTGAGTAGGGCAGTCATGCTATTCAAACACAGAAAAGCAGAGGAAGAAGAGAACGAAGTTCAAGTTCAGCAAAAAGACCGGAGGGGCAGTCACCAAGGCGTTCCAGTGCGAATTACCTCGTATCCAAAGGTAATGGCCATGATGGTAATAAGAAAGCCAAAAAACGCTTCCAGTTTCCGCAAGCCTGTGGAAGAAACAAGCCATTAGCAAGCTCTGGAGGGCACGTCTGGGGCACAGCTGCCCGGTTTCATCGCTGGTGCGTAAACAACGAAAGAGAAGAAAGAACTCACCGTACTTGTCCAGGAACAGGAACATGAACGTGTCAGCAATGGTGATGAGCACTCCACCCCACAAAGGGACTCTGCAATCGTCACCAGATCTTCTCCAAGCTTCCCTACGGTCAGGGGCAGGGATCCTGGCCTTTTTGTTTAACCACCCCGCACAAACATCTCTCGAGGCCTGGTTCGTCCTCCCACAAGCTGCTAGTTACTTAAGTCAAGAGACGAAGTCTGTTTTCTACATGAACAGCTCACAGCTTAAGCCAGGCTGGGTGCGTCACTCCGGGGTGCGTCACACCTCTCTGCGATAAGGCAACGAGCCTGGAGTTTCTCATTAAGTCTCCATGGCTAAGCTGCCTGGTGAAAGTGGCTAATGTGCAGGTAACACCAAATGGGCTAAGATTCTACAGCAGTGTCCTCCTGGCTTTAGACCTGATCTAACAGAAGCCCCTCTGGTGTTTGATACCGCGAGGCTCTGAACATAAAAATGGCCAGACAGAGTCAGACCAATGGTCCATCCAGCCCAGCGTCCTATCTGCCCACTGTGGCCAACACCAGGTGTCCCAGAGGGAGGGATCACAACAGGGAATCCCCTCACGTGATCCCTCCTCCGTCACTCACCTCCAGCGAAACAGAGGCCAGGGACACTGTTCCTACCCATCCTGGCTAATTGCCATGGATGGACCTCACCTCTGTGAATCGATCTAGCTCTTTTTTGAACCCTGGTAAAGTCCTAGCCTTCACCACATCCCCTGGCGAGGAGTTCCACAGGTTGACTGTGTGCGGAGTGAAGAAAAACTTCCTTTTGTTTTAACCCTGCTGCCTATTAATTTAATTTGGTGACCCTTAGGTTCCTTTACTGTGGGAATAAGTAAATAACTTTTCCTTATTCACTTTTTCCACACCAGTTTTGATTTTATAGACCTCAATCACATCCCCCCTTCGTCTCCTCTTTTCTAAGCTGAAAAGTCCCAGCCTTTTTATTCTCTCTTCGTATGGGACCCGTTCCAAACCCCTCACCATTTCTGTTGCCCTTTTCTGAACCTCCGGTTTAACAATGCCCAATGGAAGCTTATTTAGAGTTCTAGTGTGTCAAGCCAACAACGGCTGCTAGTTGTAGGCTCAGAAAAGCCCATTTTATTGAAAAACATTTCATCTCAGATATTTGTAGGCAGTACGTGCTGCAGAGAGGGCTCTTATGCACTGCTGAGCAGAACAGGGCAGCGATGTGCTAAGAGTCTCGCTACAGGAAAACGCTAGAGAAGCACGCTCATTTTCTGCTTCTCTCGGGGATAGCAGCCAACTTACTTCCCAGCAGACAAGAGGTTAATAGCGATTGCCGAGCCAATTACTTCTTGCATGTCCGACCCAATGATAGCGAGTTCAATCATCAGCCACAACATAATCCGAGGGACCTAAACACAGAAACTGGGCTTCAGAACCAGAAATAAAGAACAGACTATTACAGGGACAGTTTCCTCCAAACTTCCTGCCAGACTTCTGTGAGTTCACCGCCCCAGCCAGGAAAACCATCTTCCCTTCTAGCACCGAAGTCAATGGAAGACACCCAGGACTCCCGTATATACCGGATCAGGCCTCTGACTGTTTCGAAGCCCTCGTGCACTTCGACTTTCACGGTTTAGCTTCTGCTCCTTGCTCAGTTTGGATGGTGAAACTCGACAGACAGGGTTACGGCAGCGTTCGAGCTGCAAGACCGGCAGGTTTAAGAGCGAAGTCTCAAAATGCCTTCCCCGCGGAAATGGAATCAAGTGGCCAGGACTTTCAGTGAGTTTTATTGGCCTGGAAGGGGGATTTCAAATGGACAACCCAACCATACGGCCCTGACTATCTGATTTAATCCCTTTAAACTGGTTTGGGTAGAATTACTGAAATGTCAGTCACTGCCAAATGCTCACACGACCATGAGCGTTTCCTTGATAGCCAACGGCATATCGTAAAATCATGAGTATAATGCGCACCTATGTATAATGCACACCCTGACTTGAGGATCAGAGGGGTCGCCGTGTTCGTCTGAATCTGCAAAAGCGGCGAGGAGTCCTGTGGCACCTTATAGACTAACCGAAGTGTAGGAGCATAAGCTTTCGTGGGCAAAGACCCACTTCGTCAGATGCACGTAGTGGAAATTTCCAGAGGCAGGTATAAACATGCAGGCCAGGATCAGGCTGGAGATGAGGAGGTGGATCCAATCAAGGAGGACGAGGCCCACTTCTAGCAGCTGATCTGGAGGTGTGAATTCCAAGAAAGGAGAAGCTGTTCCTCCAGATCAGCTACTAGAAGTGGGCCTCATCCTCCCAGATTGGATCCACCTCGTCATCTCCAGCCTGATCCTGGCCTGCATGTTTATACCTGCCTCTGGAAATTTCCACTACGTGCATCTGACGAAGTGGGTCTTTGCCCACGAAAGCTTATGCTCCTACACTTCGGTTAGTCTATAAGGTGCCACAGGACTCCTCGCCGCTTTTGCAGATTCAGACGAACACGGCGACCCCTCTGATCCTCAAGTCAGGGTGTGCATTATACATAGGTGCGCATTATATTCATGATTTTACGATATGCCGTTGGCTATCAAGGAAACGCTCATGGTCGTCTCTACTAAACGGGAACACAACATTTGATTATCCTTAAACTGGATCTGAAGCTACAGGGAAACACACGCGCAGCCCAGGGAGCCGGCGGTGGAGTTTGAAACCTGCCTCCCGCCCTCCTGGACAGCTGCCCGGGTGCTGTGGCGGCAACACGGCCTGCCCGCCGCGCCAGGAGCCGACCCTCCAGCACCAAGCCCAGCCTCACCCGCCTCCCGGAGGCGGCCCTGGGCTGCAGGAGAGCGAGAGGGACGTGCTGCTCCTACCTGCAGGCTCGCCTGGGAAATGTGCACACAGTGGACAGCTGCCCACGCACCGCGCCAAGCTCGTGCCTGCTGCGGGGACCCCTTGGAATCCCCAGGCGCAGCCTGAAGGAGCACCGGGCAGGCAGCGAGCCAGGGCGCTGCAGCCTGGCAGCGCTGCCGGTTCCTCGCCTTGTCCAGGAGCCTGGCGCGGCGGCAACCCCCATGCTGCACTGCAGTGGGAAAGTTTCTGTGCGGAGGGGAGGAGGAGTTTAAAACTTGAAAAAAAATGCTCCTATGTATAATGTGCACCCTGGCTTTGAGCCTAAAAAACCGGGGGAAAAAGTGCGCATTATACTCGAGATTTTATGGTAGTTGTGCGACAGCTTTTTAAAATAAAAACTAGTTTTAAATCTCTCCAGTCATTTGAAGAGGGAACCTGATTCAGTGGTTCAAACAGGGAACCGGGAAGCCAGGATTCCTGGGTTCCATGCCTGACCCTGCCAATGTTGCAAGACAGGAGAATTATTCAACTCCAATTAGCCCCAGCCTTTCTCTTGTGTAAGAAGGGAATACCGGCGCCCTCGAGATGGCAGGCTGCATGTTTGGAAAGCACATCAACGCCCTTAAACGTACATGCCACATTGTCTCAGACAAGCCATGTCAAGGAAACGAGAGACAGACTCTGTTAGTGCTGAATTGGGGGTAGCACTTGTTTGCCCAGTCTCAGAACTCAGAGCCTTTCTTTCAACCAAGGGCCAACCCTGAAATCCTCAGCTATTCGGATATTGTGCAAGAGTGGACTTTGCAAATGTATTTTTAGCAATAAACCGCCATCAGTAGAGGTGGATTTACCACTGGCCGGTCAATAGTAACAGTCACATGAACCACAAGAGAAGTGCAGGTGGCCTGAAATAGTGAGTCACAAACTGACACACCCCCATGAGATCCTCAAATTGTGTTTTTGTGAAAACGAAGGCCACAAACTGGAGCAAGACCAATGTAAAGTCGGTGAGGGCATTTAAAGGGCTGTTGTGCCCTTAGAGCAGTGTTTCTCAACGGCTTTTTTAAATAAAATACCCCTTTAAAAAAAAAAAGATTATAAGTACCCCCAGTACCTATAGTTTTCAGACACACAATTTTTTCCTACTATTGCAATGCACTTGTTTAAACAACTTAATCATAGCTGGGCGAGCAATGAAATGTTTGGGTGTAAAAAGTACAAAAATAACAAAAAATCCGTTTCCTCCAAATTTCAGTTGTGCTGACGTACCCCCCAGACGTCTCTCGAGTCCCCCCAAGGGTACGTGTACCACTAGGTGAGAAACACTGCTTTAGAGCATGCACTGAAGCATCCTTAGGCTTCGTGTCTAATGTTTCCTTTCATCCCCAGTCACCGCCCAGAAACAATTCACCTTTCAGACCAGCCCCTAGGAAGCCAGGCGTGCTCCCTCCCCGCCCCCCACCAAAGCTTTGCTTTGCTGTGCAAAAGGAAGAGCATCTGATTGTCACACACCCCGGGAATGGCTTTTGAGATGGAGCGTGTCTCTACCGGCCCCTATTGCTTTGCAAGCGGAAAAGCAAGCGCTCGTTCCCGAAGAGACGTCCGTGGCTTTAAGAGCTGTCCCGTAGGAGGCTGCCTTGACGAAGGGCCTGTACGCACTAGTGCTAACTCTGGTAGAACGGCACTTGCTCAAGGGCTTGGAAAAACCACTCCCTGAGCGACATAACTTATGGGGACCTAAGCGCCGGGGTGGACAACGCTATGTTGGTGGGGTGGAAAAACCACTCCCTGAGCGACATCACTTACGGGGATCTAAGCGCCGGGGTGGACAACGCTATGTTGGTGGGAGAAGCGACGGGAGAGCTGGAACGTAAGAGCAGCCAGAATGGGTCAGACCAATGGTCCATCTAACCTAGTGTCCTCTCTTCTGACGGTGGCCAATGCCAGGTGCCCCAGAGGGAATGAACAGAGCAGGGATTCACCAAGTGTCACCCATTCCCAGCTTCTGACAAACAGGCTCAGGACACTGTCCCTACGCCACTGATGGATCTGTCCTCCATGAATCAATCTAGCTCTTTTTTGAACCCTGTTAAATTTCTGGCCTTCACAACATCCTCCGGCAAGGAGTTCCACAGGGACAGCATCTGCAATACAGCTGTGCCACTGTAGCGACTGCTGTAGAGCAGCCCTCAGGCAAGGGAGGAAGCACCAGTTTGAATCAACGGCGGAGACGCCACGGCTACCATCCCCAAGCCTTGCAGAGTTCAGACACATTTTGAAGGCACGGGGGAGGAGGGGAGAGGGAAGCGACATGCCTGCTCTCCTCCCCCCCTTCCTGAAATTTCAACTCCTCTGCATTCCTGGGTCCCAGTCATTCAGAAAGCTTTGTTCTCAGTGACGTGCCAAACCTCTCAGCCGAGCCGAGCAGCCCGGTGCGTGGGAACAGCATCCAGAGTCCCCGTTCCGAGTCCAAAGGCCTTCGGCTCACCCACCTTTTGATACTGCCGGTTGCAGACTTCTGCCAGGTGCAGCCCTGTGACCACCCCCAGCCTGGCTGCCAGACGCTGCAGGAGGAGACCGATGACCGTGGCCAGCAGCAGGACCCAGAGCAGCTGAAAGAGACGCAAGGATGCAAAGTAGCCCCGAGCGAGGAGGCGGACAAGTCAGGATCTGGGTCTCCTGAGATTACGGTGCCCTCTAAAGGCCCCCTTGCTAGCAGAAGCCGGGAACGTAGTCGATCCATTTGAAAGTGCCGGCCGGCTGGGATCCCACGCTTGGTTCTACAAGCCTGGCAGACACACGCACAAGGGGCTGCCGGCAAATAAACCTTGTAAGCCATTTTGTTGCCGTTTCACACACATTTTGATGCTCCTGCAGCATAAAGCGTAGACTACGGTAACTCCCAAGCAACACCGAGCAGCAGGGAGTTTGGCCAAACTTTTCAGTACCACAGTGCTGAGCAGGCCCACCGGCATTTAGCCTGGCACTGGGTCAGCGCCTTCATCTAGACCCGGGCTACTGAACATGCGGCCCGTGGTGTGGTTTGGGTTTACATGGGACTCAGCACATGGCCCACAGGTGGGAGCCAAAACAAAAGAGTCGTCAATATAATGGTCTTCTGTTGATGTGGGTTTTAGTAGTTAAAATTCATGAGCAATGACAGGCCTGGAAAAGTGCTGTCATATGGGTGGAAATCAGGTAACTATTGCATTTTATTAATATCAGCAGAACTGACTTAACGGGGCCTGTGTGTTGTGCGGTTTTCCTTAATCTTTGTATTCATGCCCGTCAGTGTGAAAAGCTATATGCATATATATTTACATGTCTATGCAACCACACTTAAGTTGCAGCCCGTGGCATGTGCTGGGAGTATCATTGTGGCCCCCGGGGCTTCCGAAATTGAGTAGTCCTGTGTAGATAGAAGCCGCGGTTGCTTCCCCACTTGGAAAACGTCCCACTGACCTTAAACCCGGCGACGGCGCCTGACTGTAAATCCGACTCGATGTTGCCTGGGTCCAGGTAGGCGATGCTCATGAGAAAGCCGGGCCCGGTGAAGGCCCAGAGTTTGCGGAAGCTAAACCACGGATGCTGCAAAACGGAAGAGACGATGGAGAGGTTAAGACTCCGCTCTGCACCGAAGCCGGGAGCAGATGCCAAACAGAGCACGGCCTCCAGGCCCCGGCCCTTTTTTAAGGCAAAAAAATTGGTAAGAGGGGCTTCCAAGCTTTTTCAGCTGCCAGCAAAATCCTAGCCAGCCCTGGCAAGCTCTCTCCAGTCCCTTATCGGTCTCTCTATTTTGAATTCCAACGTGCATCCCTTGATTTTGAGACCTTCAGGGTCGCTGCCACCTTAGCTGGGGGTAACAGCAAGCTGACTTGCAAGCAATCCCGACAAGCGCTGGTTTGCCTGCTCTAGACAGAGACAGCAACCGCATCCCATGCAGGGCGCCTCGTGAAGGACCGTACTGCTCAGCCCAGCTTAGCTACCGTGACTTGCTGTTCTTGGTGCAAGCAAAGCCAATTCCCGCCTGGGATCATACACTACGTGTCTTGTGGAAACAGCGCGGCTGGGAAACTTGACAGAAGGCAGGAGCGGGGCTGCGCCCATCCTCATGTGAGGTGCCCATTCCCTCGAAACAGAGAGTCTGGAGAAGCCTGCCAACCCCGGCAGAGATGGCACAAGGAGCAGTTGCTGTTTCGGGTAAGCAGACCCCCCCCGGCACGGCACCTTCGGGACCTGACTCGCCCGACCAGGCAGTATGCCAGACCAGGGGAGATCAAGCACTCGGGTCTCCGCTTTTCCTCCTGGCCGCCCCGCTACTACCTGGGGCTTTGCTCCCCCAGCCCGGCTCTGCTGCCACCCGGGGTGGGCAGGGGAGGGACTCCAAGCTCCACCCAGCAGTTCCGCTGCCGCCGGGGGTTCTCCCCAATAGCCCCACTGCCGCCCGGGACTCTGCGCTCCACCTGCCCTAATGTGGCAACGCTCCTGGCCACCTGGGGTCACCCCGACGATGCCAGACCAGGGGTGCTGCCGGACTAGGGAAGTCCGGATAACGGAGCGTCAGCCTGTAAATGCAGCAGCCGTCGGATGGGTATCTGGCATCCACAGCAGGTAGCGAACTCGCTTTGTGGCCGAGAGTCGCTCGGTTGGTTTTAGCTGGGTCACTGAACCCCACGGCAGACACTGCCCCTCCTTCTCAGAGTAGCTCTCCATGGAGAGACAGGGGCAGCCAGCTCTCCTA